CATTCCTGCTAATGCAAACACACAAGTAATGTGACACACTTCCTCTCTCGCAGTGCTCCGGAGAGCGAAGAAAGTGATGATGGGAAGAGAAACGCACACAGAATGAAAAGGCAGGACAAAGGAAACATGTGCACCATCTCTCCAACTGGGAGCAAAGTGCTGCAATTTAGCTGCTCTTTAACCCAGCAGCCGGAATTTTCCCATCACATCACAGCAACATGTGACTCACCGGGCCATCTGAGTTAATCTGATCACAGAAAAATGACTCATGGTTGATTATTAGAATATCATCAGAGACAAACCAGCTTTGTGAATGTGATGTGAGCGGACCCAAGCACAGAAGTCCCCCCCTTCATCTCATGACTAAAAGCTCTGCATACGCAGCACGTCACAGTTGGTGCAGAGCGAGGACTTCTTCAAAAGTGCAGTTTATTTTTGGGGGAGCTTCACGTCTGCTGCCACCGGCTAATAAACAAGCTGCACAGCGCCGCCTGAAACCGACCTGAAGTAAAACCGTGACTCCCTCTGTCAAAGCTCAACACCCGGTCCAATGAGATGTTGGAGGAGGCCTTCAGGAAGCACCTCGAGGCAGCTCACAGCTTTCAGAGAATACAAAAAAGAAGGAGTTTATTTCTATTGCTGAGACATTTTCACGGGGATTTGGGTGTGTTGTGCAGATTTAATGCGGGAATACAGGATGTTTGTGGTGCTTGTGGTGAGTTTGGCCTTTGCGAGTGGCGAAATGTTACACTTTGAAGCAGTTGTGATGCGAAAAAGTTACGAGGCTTTATTATCAGATCAAAGCTGCGCATTTGCACAATCGGACTGGCTTTTGCAGATAAATTCTTAGAAAATCCGTCACTTGTCACAATTCAAGCTGCTGAATCATTTATAGCGACGACCGTTATCTATTACTGCCGCATATAGGCTCACACTGATCATGTGGGGAGGGGAGATAGCCGCAGCACAAAATGCCAAAAGCCTCAGCTGGGCTCAGCCGTCCGCTTTTTGTGCTGAAATGAGGAAATCCTGGGGAAAGACTCATTTCATTCAGCTTTCACTCCATTAAAAATGTTGACTTTTTCCCTCATTCTGTGATTGCGGACAGCCCACGTATCCTGTTGTGTTACCATCTAACTGATGACTGCCTGCAGCTTGTCAATCTGACTCCCATGCAAATGAGAGCAGCGTGACAGGGGTCATTAAATCTTGGTGCTTATTAGAGAACTAATGGTCGAATGTAATGATCCGATAAAATGTTTCTCTGCGGTTTGAAGGACGATGCACGTGGCCTGATGGTGACAGGAGGGGTGACTGTTTGCACAACGGAACTAAATTCACTTGAACAGCAGCTGTGGCTTGTAAAAAATCTCTTTCTCCACATATCTGATGTGACATTTTTGTTCTTTTTTGGGGGGGTTTACAGCAGGGGAACACTGTAACACGCCCTGTGACAACCCCCTACATTTCTATTGAAATGTTAAAGGCATAAAAAGCTCTCTCCAAGCTGACCGTAAAGAAAGCTGAGACTGTAATCTATAATTTAATCAAATGACTTATCTGTATTCCTGACATATCCCTGCCACTGCCTGTCAATGGATGCACAGATAAGCGTGTTAATTCACGTGTTTTATGTGATGTGCCTCAGTGCACGAGTCCAAATCGTTGGCTTTTCAAAGCAAAAAAAACCACATAAGCCACATGAGATGAATAAAAGAATGTTAGCACAGCATGAAAAAAAAAACGAGGGGACATTTTTGAGAAATAGGCTTTTTGCAAAAAGCTAGATGAGAAAATCAATACCGCTGTCATGTTCTCACACCAGATATGAAGCAGCAGCTGGTAGCTTTGCTCGGCCTAAAGAGCGGAAAGGGAGGGGAGGGAGGTTGCACTTTGATTTGAGTTTCTGAGCACAAATAACAGCTCAATCACTGTAACGGAGGTCCAAAGAGGCCAAATCATCTGTAGCCAAAGTGCCGTCATGTGGACTGGAAAATAGCAGCGACAACAAACACTAAACAAGATGCGCCGAGAAGAAAACAGAGTCTGCAGCAGTCGTGTGTTGGATAAATGGTGTAGATGCTGCTGATTTGGATGTAAAGTTACAACATTTGAAACAAGATATAAAGTCAATATATGTTTTTTGTGTTTTTGTCTTTAGCATGCATGAATACTGCATCATGTATATTCTCAGTTTGACATGCAGACATCCTGCAGTTTGTCTCCCTCCGCTGTGTTTTACAGCCTCCCTGTCGTGCCGGCGACAGGCCTGCTTATCCTTCATTAATCTCTCCCCCCTGCTTTTACCCCCCACTTAATGGTGACGTTTATCCTATTAATGTGTTGTTGTTGCTGGAAAAATCCCCCAATAACATAATCCAGAGTCAAGGTTACTAATGTATGTGTGTGTGTGTGTGTGTGTGTCTCCGCTGTGTGTGTGTGCAGAGGCATGGTTGCCATGGAGTCGGTGATTAATTGATGGAGGAGTAAAATCGGTGTGAAGATGATGAGCAGAAAGTGGAGGGAGTGAGTGACGTGTTTAAATTTTACATTTCCCCTCAAGTTGGCAGTAAAAATTCTGCGTTAGCTGTTAGTCAACTGTCAAAACGTACAATACTGCACTCCAGTGTTCACGAGCTCAACTGCAGCTTGACGGTGTCGCTGCTTAAAAAAGGGAAAAGCAATATTTTATTAGTAATAGCAGAGCTGTATGGAGGCTTTACATGAGTAAAATTACCCAAACTATAAGAAAAATTACAAATTAAAGCCTGGCATGCAAAAATATACTTGTGAAGGACAAAAGAATTAACTTCTAAGTAGTGTCAAGAGTAGACATATTCTTTATGCAGAGACGTTCCGTTCAGTACATTATGTTATCATGTCATGACATAATTAATATACATGCACTAACACATTAACACCAAAAAGTAAAAATGACTTTCACACTGTTTGGTTGTTTCCTTTGTAAAAAAAATAAAATAAAAAAAGTACCATATTTTAAAATGTGAGCTCATATTTTGCTTGTAAATGTCGTTTTTGCAAAGAGATTTGAAAGCCTTGCTGTTCAATGAATGCAGTGAAGAAAAAATATTTGCCTCTAAATAGTGGTGAATAAAAGTATTAAAAATCTAAATACTGAAATACAGTGTCTCAGAACTGTACAACTGTAATTGTGTGAAATTACTTTATCCTGGGAGTTTAGCATTTTAAATGTAATTAATTAGGAGACCAAATCTTTAAAGCTCAAAACAAAAATACAGTCTGCTTAAAATGTTGCATTAATGTGACCAAAAAACTTATTTAGCTGCTAGTAATAGGAATAATTAATATTAAGGTCATTACTCAAAAAACTTTTTACACAGTTGTCATTATCACCAACCCCCAAAATACTTATATTTATTTTTCTGTTCTATTGCTTGCTCTCCATCTGCTGTCCTTTTTTCCCTACCACCCCTCATCCCCACTCTCACCCAACCGGTCGAGGCAGATGGCCGTCTTCCCTGAGCCTGGTTCTGCTACTTTGGATTGTTGGGTTCTCTGTTTAAATTTGTAAGGTCTATACCTTACTTTGTTAAGCGCTGTGTGATAACATGTTGTAAACTATACAAATAAAATTTAATTGAAAATTGAATTGAATTCTTTTTTTCAAAGTGGTGATGAATTATTTTTGTTATTTTGTGTTTTTAAAAAAAACTAATCTGTTGCACTTCTAATTATATTACTTTTGCATTAATTTGCATCATTGCCTGAGATGTATTGTAACATTATTTCCAATTAAATATTTCATGTTAAATATTGTCCAAATACCAGCATAAACCTCTATCCTGATGAGGAGGACATGCAGAGGATCTTTCTTTGTGCTCTTGGATAAAATATTATCACAATGTCAGAAACCAGCTCAAAGAGCTTTTTACAGAAAAATGCTGCAGCAAGAACAGTCATCATGTAGAGCTAGTAGGTTACACTGCCTCAAAATAAATGTAGCACTGCAATGAGATGATTGATTTTATCAGCCGTAGTGAGTTAAATGACTGGATTGTGCATGTGATGATAGTAATAAAACACTCGGCAATGCACTACCTGTAACATTAGAGGTTGTTGTTCTGAAGTTTGCTAGTGAAAAAACTGTATTTTACTTATAATACATAGTGTATCGTCCCATTCATCCTTCACCTGTAATCAGTGGTATAAGTCAGTGTATTCCAGCAGTGTAGGCAAAACTGAGGGACTTGGAATAAGTTAATAAGAACCAGAGATTATAATGCATCAAAATAAAATCATGTAAATGAATACAACAGTCAGCATTGGTTAAAAAAAACAAACAAAAAAAAAAGCCAAACAATAAAAGCAAGTTTTAAGAAGAGCTTTAAAAACATGGTGTTGAGTTTATTTTATTTATCTTTATTTAACCAGACAAAAGACCCATTGAGATCGAAACCTCTTTCACAAGGGCGACCTGGCCAAGAAAGGCAGCAGCACCAGTCCACAAATAAACACACAAGAGTCACAAAGAAGCTCCAGCAGGGTCGATCACAGCTGAGACCAGTAATTAAATATGAAAATAACTCACACACAATAATATAAAGACATAACAACATTGCATCACACAAAAAAAATAATATTAAAAAACAAAAACTATTGGACAAAAACCTGAAATTAAACACTAAAAGAGTGACAGTAGATATCTAACTTTAACAGAGCTACATATAAATGTACTTTCTCCTACAGACAGCCGGAAGTAATACATAACTTCTGCAATAAATAACCCTTGATGCGGTTATAATGTCGAGGTTTATCTGAGAAGTCTTGCTTTGACCCTCTGACCCTGTGCTTCCGTGTGTGGCCCAGTGCCGGACCTCTGGATGTGTCCCCGGGTCGACCAGCAGGTGGCGGCCGCTGACCGCGCTGCTCTGAGCGGACCTCTCTCTCCGCCGCTTCTCCCAACTGTGGGCGTTTTTTTTTCCCTCAGTCTTGACTCCAGAGTTTCCTTTTTCTTTTTTTTTTTTTCCTCTTTCTGGGTGTTGCCTGCCTGCTTTACAACTTTGGAGTTTCACCGGGGTGTTGCCGACAAGCAGAGACAAGCCGGGCCAGTTCCTACAGCAACATTTTAAAACTTTTTGGACCTTTTTTTTTTTAATTATTGTGTTTAAAGCTGCAGTTTTCCAGGCGACGCCGGACCGCTTTATTTTAGCCGCCGTTAGCCTGCTAAGCTAACCGCCATCGAGCTGCTGTACCGTCGGCTGGGTTGCTAACGAGAGAGCCGTCCGATGCAGGCCATAAAGTGTGTGGTGGTGGGGGACGGGTAAGTTAAAGTACATTTATATTCTCACTTTGACCTCTGTAATGCCGCCGTTTGAGCCGTATTGTAGCCGGTAAAGGCTAACGTGGTTGTTTGTGTTGACCCAGTTACCAACAGTTGGCTAGCGGCTAACGAGCCTCAGATAACATGCCAACATGAGCGACAGCTGTTGTTGTGCAGTCTGCTCTGCAGTCCAGCTGGGTCAGACAGATTTATCTACATGCTCCGGTTAGGTGTGACTGAAGGGGTCACAGCATGGCGTTTATTAGACATGACAGGCCGCCGTGTTGACAACCTGCTATTTAATAGCTCTTCCTATATGAACGTGTGTGATTGATGGTTGTTGGGTTTGTGTCTAAAAACCTTGTGGTGCCTCCTTTGTATGGTTCCATCAACTACACAGTCACAGGAGGCCTGAAAGCAACTTTGACTCTGATGTTGTTTGAGGCCCCAATCAAAATGTGTAAATATCAAAAGTAGCTGATGGAACAGTCTCACCATCATCATCTGTAATGCCATAAATCCAGTCCATGTGGTCTTGATCAGAACAGAGCAACATCCTCACATTTACAGGCACTTTATAACTATTGTCACTTATTGTTGAAAGCAAATGACATGATCTTGGTTGTATGAAATGCATGACTCCTCCTGGGGCGTAAAAAGCTGCTTGAAGTGGTTGTTCTGACAAGGGTTAGTACAAAATGTGACTTTTGGAGTCTCGTTCAAAGTAAGATTAGAAAGTTAAAAGTTTAAAAAAAATCAAAGAAGGGGAGACAAATATCACTGTTAAATGTCCCTGGTTGAAAACTTACAATAAGGCATTAAAGTTAAAACATGCAAGTGAGGTATTATATATGTCTAGAATCACACAAAGTAAGTGTATTTATTTCCCGAATACAGATTAAAGCCAGAATTAGCTTTTTCCTTTCATTTTATTGCCAAAGGTTTTACAGAGAGGATTTTGGATATCACTTTTTATCATTCTATAAATTCAGAAATATGGTGCACATGCAGGAAAAAAAAAAAGACTTCAGAGCTAAAACTTTCTATAAATCAGAGCCTGAATGATAAATAAACAAACCCCTCAGTAAGCAGCTTCATGTATAAGTGCTATTGAAGTGGAAATTTCCAGACGGTGATTGTGAGGAAAGACTTAATTTGAAGAAAACCACATTTAAATGTGTTTGATATAATTAAAATCTACCAATGCAAACAAGCAGTGTATAATAAAATGCACCCCTAAATGTGTATTATGGATGTTTTCTTCTCCCTAATCTGAAGGAAGAGATGTTAACCGGTGCATAAAAACAACTGTTTCTTCCTGTATTGTCTCGCCTTAAACTGAAGAATGGAGGCGTTAAATGAAATAGTTTGCAAGCAGATAAAGACCTAATGTCAGTGTGTTGTGTGTTCGTGTGTTGAGAAAATCAAACCAAACTTGAATGATCACAGTTCAAACATCTTTTTAAAAACATTTTAAAAAGTTTAGACTGATGATAGTTCCCAACTAGATGGTATTTTATCACTCTCGTATATATGAAAACAAATACTGATACCAATTGAGAATCATAAGTGATCGGATTTAGCGACTATCTTGATCCACTTTCAGTCCTACACAGCACTTTGTAAACTATTTGTGCATGTTGTTAGTCTCCCAGTGTTCTTGCTGTGTGCCTAATGTTTCTATCCCTTGAGAAAAAGCTATTTCAGGACAACACTGGGAACGAGCAGAATGTACTGGAGCCTGTCGAGTTATTTTTGAAAAAAACAACATCACAACTTACTGAAGCGCCACGAGAATGTCAAGCATATACTTCCATTGTGGTTCTTGTTAGAGAATAAGTAAAGTGACAGAGCTTTTTGGATTAAACTTGTCCTACGTGATGTGTTAACCTGTCGGGCAAGATGGGCTACACTGACTATGCAAAAAAAGTAGCTCAGTAGTTGCTGTACATTCACAGAAGACTGTTTTGTAACTGCGGAGACAGAGAGGCGTCGTGTAGATCAAGCCTTCAGTTCTCCTCACTGCATCATTCTCTTCTCTCTCCTCTCAGGGCTGTGGGTAAAACATGCCTACTCATCAGCTACACTACCAATGCCTTCCCTGGAGAGTACATCCCCACAGTGTAAGCAACACACACACACACACAGATGAACACACACTTCATGACCAGCTGTGATGTATGATCATTGGAAATGTGGCAGGTTTCACATGATGAAGGTAGCCTCCTGGTGCGATGGGATGGAAACAACTACATTTTCATGAGCAGCTTATTTGTTTACTGTCTTGGAAAGTACAACATTGTACATTAAAAGCATTACTAATTGGTTTGATTTGGAATCTGATGTTCACTTCTCTACCTACAGCTTCGACAACTACTCCGCTAATGTGATGGTCGATGGGAAACCGGTGAACCTGGGTCTGTGGGATACAGCAGGGCAGGAGGACTACGACAGGCTCAGGCCACTGTCCTACCCACAAACAGTATGTACACAGATAAATACATCTATGTTCTACCCATACATACACCCACCAGCGGGGACAACTGCTGAGCTCTGTTTGTGCAGATTAGTGTCAGCCAGACAATGTTAGCATGAACACTGTTTTCACTTTGCCAGCATTGATTTGCAGTTATTCACTGGCCCCTAATGCTTAAGACAGAGTCTGTGCTCTCAGCAGAGCAGAGCCTCGTATCCATAGTACCTATACACTGTCTGGAGGACGGCGAGAGGAAGTGAAAAGCAGCTCTTGTTTTCCCTCTTTGTCTTCACAACAAACTGGCCTCTGTGGTAGAGACTTGCAGGGAGCTGAAAGTGGGAGTCACTTTGTATTTGACCAACAGGACCAGTCCAGATTTGTCGAGATTTATTGCCCTCCCCCAGAAAACAAAAGGGGGAAAGGATTTCTTTCAAAAAAGCATTTTCTTTGCATTTATTTCTTACCTTTATGTCAATATTTGAGTGAATGCGAGAGTCACTGCTGCTGTCATTTACAGCTGCACTAGTTTCTATAAAAAATCCTTCATTCCCACTGCA